TCCGATTCATCCTCTTGATCTTCGGAAAATCTATCTGTGCTGTCAGCCATTGACGGAATTTTAGACTTGGCAGCCCTAGGTGCCGTTCTATTGGAACATTTATCACAAGACAGTGAGTAATTCGTATAAGAACTACTATAAACGAGAAAGCAGTAAAAAGACGCATAACTCACTTTCTAATGGCCAACTGTGGTTTTTCCGAAGTACTTTTACCGGTTTTACGCCTTTTTGGTGGTGACTGACCAGAAGACTTTTTACGAGTTTTCTTAATTACTTTAGACTAATAAAATAAAGGTAGTTTTAGGATTCATGTTAGCAGATAAATAAAGATTGAAGAATGAAAAAACTTTTCGCTTTTATGTGTTGAAGAATGAGTCTTTTCGAGTTCTTTAAGAAATTCGTTTGGAATATAGTTTTTTTTCATAACCTAGATTTCAGTATGTTAAAATTAACATAAGAAGAGTGCAACAATCTTAAATCATGATGTCAAAAATGAAGTTGGATAAGAAACCTCGGTGATGACTTCAGGACTAGGAAGGTTTTTAAACAAATCGCCAGGCAATTTTGCCTGGCCTGGGTATGCGGGTAATGACCACGAATTTGTTTTACTCTTGGCCCGTATAAGATACTGAGTTATATCGCTTAGTATATATAAATTCTATAAAACACATTTCAATACTTAACATTACACGTTCCATAAAAAATATAATTTGTACACTTTATTGCGACCTAAATACCTCGGACTGATCCAAAGATTGTGCATCACGAACTTGTTTTAACCGTCCGGCGATATACAACAGGAAAGAAACGTTTTCCGAGTTTGCAATAGTATCCAAGAAGAAATTGATATACCTGACATTGTATTTAAATATTAGCAGGTGTTCTTATATGTAGATCAATGATACAGATTTCTTACACTGTAAACTCGCCAAGAACTTCAGGTTCACAAGAGAAATCGGGATGATGTAAAAGTAGATATATTAAGCGGACTAAGGACATCTCGAAAAGCATAGGATTATCCTCATCTAGATCCAATCAATAATGTTTTTTCATATACTTCATTATTTGCATATTAGGGTATCCTAAACATAATATGAAGGGAGATTGATTGATCTTCACTCACGAATTTTCCTTGAGATTCGTGACTGTCTAAGCAAGAATACTTTCACCTATAGTTATTATCACAATAAGGTTAAGAACGGAGTGGAAAAAAAATCATACAACGAAACAAGAAAAGATAGAACACTTTCCATTTCCCGAATATCATTCATCGGATCATGTGCAACCAAAAAGAATATGGACAAAAATCGAGCATGAAGTTGATATCCACCACAATATTTAACAAGTCGCGAAGCAAACGCCAAGCGCACTTGGTAACACGAATCCTAAAAAAAATTTTTTATATAAATCGTTTTGAATATAATATGATTGATAATTATGATTGAATCGGTTCTCACCTGGATCATTAGGGCGAGCTCCTGAAATTCGGCGACGGAAATCATCGAATCATAAATTTTCTGTTTTGCTAGTTTCAGCACAGAACGAGCCGCAGCCAGACGCAATCGACTTTGGAAGGATGGACTACATCGACACAATAAATGATGTTAAGTTCTAGAAATTTCAAATTATAAATAAAGAAATGGTACCTAGTTGACTTATCCGGAAGAAGTTCACCACCTTCCCGGATCAGGGTCCAAAGTAACTTAAAGACCGGTTTAGCCAAATCCACAGCCGCATCTGTTTTACTAACAGCTAATAAGCGGTTAACAAGTACTTTCAAACCCAACACCTATTTTTAATGATTCTAAATTAATATTATATTTATAATTGCGAATTACGACATACTTCTAATTTATTCAATCTACATAAATTTGTGACCATAAAAATGAAATACCTTAGCTTTGCACTCGTCATTGAGTTCATCGTCATCAACCCAATCAATATCAGAGTCAGGAGTTGTCTAATATGAAAAAAAAAATATGTCAAAGGAAACATGCACAAATGATGTCATACATTGAGGCAAATACCTTTTGCTGAGTTTTCATGATGAGTTGCTTAATTATGAAATTAGTTGTGGCCTCGCTTTCTTCCTCAAACGTCTCTGGAGAAAAAAGGGCACATTGACTGAGAGCGGAGAGGTGAGCCAAAAGATGTTGTGACGTAAGTGAAAGTTTTGGAACGATTTCCTGAAGGAATTGTGAATATCATGGCAAAATATTAGTAACGAATAATGCACAGGTTTATTGAACAACATGTTGGAGCATAATAGTAACAAAGTAAACGGTCAAGGCTCACTTTTAATAAATCACTGCATATTTCCTCCTTACGAGGAACGTGGTTTAATATAATAGCAGCAAATTTTGCCTGACGAGGAGTTCCTTCAAATGCATAATCCATAAAGCTTCGTATAGAATTTCTAAATTTTAGAACATAACTAACTCATTACAATTATTCTAATCACAAAAAAAAAAAGAACTTTTGTCCAAACGAACCTGTCTTGCGATATTTCAGTG